CAGGGCATGACAAGGCAGGTCAGGATGTCACAGGGCAGCGCAAGGCAGGTCAGGATGTCACGGGGCAGGACAAGGCACAGGATGTCACGGGCAGGGCAGCAGGTCAGGATGTCACGGGCAGGCAAGGCATCAGGATGTCACAGGGCAGGCAAGGCAGTCAGGATGTCACACAGGCAAGGCAGTCAGGATGTCACAGGGCAGCGCAAGGCAGGTCAGGATGTCACAGGGCAGCGCAAGGCAGGTCAGGATGTCACAGGCAGCGCAAGGCACAGGATGTCACAGGCAGGGGCAAGGCAGGTCAGGATGTCACAGGGCATGACAAGGCAGGTCAGGATGTCACAGGGCAGCGCAAGGCAGGTCAGGATGTCACGGGGCAGGACAAGGCAGGTCAGGATGTCACAGGGCAGGGCAAGGCAGGTCAGGATGTCACGGCAGGACAAGGCAGGATGTCACAGGGCAGCGCAAGCAGTCAGGATGTCACGGGGCAGGACAAGGGCAGGTCAGGATGTCAGGACACAGGCAGTCAGATGTCACGGGCAGCCAAGGCAGTCAGGATGTCACAGGGCAGCGCAAGGCAGGTCAGGATGTCACACAGGCAGGCAAGGCAGGTCAGGATGTCACAGGCAGGGCAAGAGGTCAACAGGCAGGGGACAGGTCAGGATGTCACGGGCAGGACAAGACAGGTCAGGGATGTCACGGGCAGGACAAGGCAGGTCAGGATGTCAGGGCAGGACAAGCAGGTGAGGATGTCACAGGGCAGGACAAGGCAGGTCAGGAGTCACGGGCAGGACAAGGCAGGTCAGGATGTCACAGGGCAGGCAAGGCAGGTCAGGATGTCACAGGCAGGGCAGGCAGGTCAGGATGTCACAGGGCAGGGCAAGGCAGGTCAGGATGTCACAGGGCAGGACAAGGCAGGTCAGGATGTCACAGGGCAGGACAGGCAGGTCAGGATGTCACGGGGCAGGACAGGCAGGTCAGGATGTCACAGGGCAGGACAGGCATGCAGGGCAGCATAGGCGTGATGCACATAGTCTTTTCTATGATTATAAATGTCAACCAAGATTTCTCACGAAACCTTCAATCTAACTCACAAAATAAATTCGAGAATGTTATGTGATATTCGTGTGGGAATGATGCACTTGTTCATCCTCTGAGCTGCCACGTGCAAGATACCAGAACTATTAAGCCAAGATCGGTTTGATGATGTGCGTAATAGGATGAAAAAGCGACATCTTTTGGAGGAGGGAAAAGGGAGAAAAAAAGAGAGAAAGTGTTGGCTGTGTCTCAAAAGGTGAGATTTTTTTACATCTGCCATTCAGGAATATTGGAAGGGATAAAAAAAACTATTTCCTTTTTCTTTCGTTCTTTAATACTGTCTTCATATCCTAATCTGAATGAATCATTGCAATAAGCAAGAGAGAAATTCATCAAAAATTAACGTGATCGACCGAATAGCTTTCACATGATATAATAACTTGATGGAAAATTCAGTGGATGAATTCCAGTACCGCAGTGAAAGCACAGAAGGAGGCTGTGCTCTATCAGTTCTTCGTGTGGATGAATCCCTCAGTCACTTGCTGTGTCTCACGCGTGCAGGAAATAATAATGATAATAATACAGTACTGATACTGATAAAGAGAATGAGAATAATCACGATGATAAAGGCTGCGCGACGTAGGCCGAGACGGGTCTGCACCTGCGCTGTAATGACCTGCGTGACGATGTGTGTTTACATTAAAAATCATGAGAAGCAGTTTCCTGTCCTGCACTGCGCTGCGTGGTCTGAGTCAGCTGTGTCCACGAGGAAGACAGGTCAAAGAGCGAGAGATTTAAGATTTAAGATTTTAAGATTTTAGTTTTAATTCCATTTGTTACAATGGATATTCTTTGCTGTGACATACTGTCTGTTTTATTTTGCCCAAATCTCCCCCTGTGTGCAAGGAGTGGCCGGGGTTACCACTCACTGGCGGCGGGATTGAACGCAGGTCCGCAAGATTGCTAGACCAGCACCTTACCGCTGCGCCAGCCAGAGAGAGGGAGGGGTGGAGGGAGAAAGAAGAGCGAGAGAAAGAGCAAGCAGAAGAGAGAAATAAGAAAGAAAGAACGATAAGAGGATAAGGGAAAGTCAACGCAAATTTGAAGGCAAGAATCAGCCTTCCAATAACTATCGTCCTCCATCTCTCTTCTCTTTCCTTTTCTCTCTCTCTCTCTCTCTTCCCCCTTATCAGCGTTCCCGGCCGTCTTACCTCCTTTCACGTTCAGAAATATCGAGGCAAGTGACACACCAATTACTGATAAAATGTCGAATGCAATGAAGACAAAAAAAAGACAAAAAAAAAGTGCAAAGCGAATGGTATTGTAGAGTCAGCAATAACGTAATATCTTAGTTTGTGTAAATTATTCATTTTCAGTCTAGGCGTGAAAAGTTTTTGATAATAATGATAATGATTGTAACATTATCACTATTATTGTTATTACTACTATTATTAGCATTGTTGTT